AATTGGGAGCAAGTGGCTCACACATCACACCCCCTCACGCCATCACATCCCTCTCCCCCATTTGTGTGGCATTTGTTGTGGGATGCGCGTACGTATGCCGGGACCTAATCCGGCCCGCGTGCCAAGTTTCGGAAGCTGGTGAGAGCCACAGAATGCCACTAACAGCCAGCTACACTGGCCCGAAACCTACAGACATGAAAATCAAAGCAATAAAACTGAACTAAATTGACTGTTCAAATGATACGGTCACTGTGGGTAGACAAGAAATGTCCTATGTCTATGCCATAAACAACACAATTCAGATGAGGGGGAAATAGGTAGTTCTAGATAGGCAACCGCACCATCTACCCGGCTAACCACTCCCCCGATTAGGGATTCACATGGACCTGTTAAAAATCAATCGGGGAAACATCGAAAATACTAGTGACGGACAAACAACCGACTGTATTATGCACTTACTTTGTACATCCCAATGACTGGGTTGGTTACGGAGATGCAGGCGATCCCTGGAATGCAGTTTACTGTGGTAAGACTGAGAAAATTACTTGCACACATATACCTCTAGGTGCCTGCAGCAAAGAGACCAGATCGCCCGTTTCAGGTTGCCGTGCATACGCGGATACTGGACACAGGCAGGGCCGACAAAAATAGCGAAATCTTGATGTTTTCGGAGTTTTGGCCAGTAGAATCGTGTACGCATAAGGTCCCAAAACAGTCAGGCCAAAAAAATGCTCCGCAGATACTACTTATGAATAATTTTAAACTGCTACAGATGAATATTTCGTAAATTGTAAGTATAATTTGCGCACCGGGTGAACGCAACAGGAACCCGGGAGTTCGTTTGGTAAACCACACGACCGAAGATTACCGGACACAAGATTTTATAACCAAAGGCACTGCGACCGTACAAACCTAGACATCATAAGGTAGCATCCCTCCAGACGAACGTTCAGTACTAGTCTGTTAATATTCTTCACAAACAAAAGCTCTCCGTATATCAGAGTAGATTTGAATAGAAAATGCACATTTAATTGGCCCTGCAAACATTAATGGAAGATATTGTTAAAGACCCTCCCGATATGCCATCAAAAGCCAGTATTTCATTTCATGAGGCGGTTGGCGAGGATGGCTCATAGCTAGAGAAAGCAGACTGATTGAAGAGGTGGTATGGCGACACGGACTGCGCCACACCCGTCGTGATTTATAGCACTGATCAGCAAAAGTCGACTTAACTGTCAGAACTGTGGTGCCTGTCGTTACTCCTCCCGGAATGGATCCTGGTGCCAGCTGAAGGAGTAGAGAGTGCATATGATGGGTGTGTCGGTGGGTTGGCCTGGGCGTATTCGATTGGCTTGAGGGTCGGATTGACAACCCAGTCTGAAAAGCCGTCAGCGATATGGAAGTTGTGCAGAACCAGCTGGCCCCTGGCAAGAGTGCTTTAACCCAAATACTTAACATTCTACATACCCCATTCTGCATACCCCATCTGAACTACATATATATATATATATATACATTATGCTACATAGACAGCTCGCTAAGAGTGCAACAGGCCAGACGCAGAGACGCGAAGAAAAATGAGTCCTTTGGAAAATTTAACAAACTTAGTTTCGTAAATTTTCGACGCTGGTTCCCCAGGTCGTCGTCGTCAGACGTGTAGCAAGTGCGAAAAAACAATTAAAACTTAAACATGCCCGAAAAATCGATACTGCTTTGTCAGTGCTGAGGATGGGTCAATGCTGTGGGCTGATGTCCCGTTCTGATTGGCTATTACCTTTTCCATTTTTCTTTGAGATTTGTGTACATGGCGTCAAGACCAATGTGTCGGTTGATGCACGACTCATCAGAGTGAATGGCCTCTAGGAATTCTCGGCCTTTCTTATGTGGGCAGCAACCGGCAGTGCGTGTTGTATCCCAAACAAATTTGTTCCCAGTTTCAAGAGTGCACATGACGACTTGGGATAAGTGGTCGCCTCTCTTTACTGCCAACTGGTGTTCATATAGGCGTCTGGAGTGGTTTGACTAAAATATACCGCATTACAAATGCAACGCGGAACCTTATGAACTACTTTTTTATCCAAATAGCCGACCATATCCCTAAGATATACAAGCTGGTTGCGTAGCATAGTTTGTGGGCCACTTGTATTTTGTGCTTTCTCAGGTGTCTTTCAACGAGTTCACATGCATTATTGATGTAAGAAAGCGTTCGGCAATATTTTGGTTTTGGCGCCTGATCGGAACAATCAAGCCCGTGGCTCAGTGGTTAGTGGCGTTGGACTTCTAAGCAACAGGTCGTGGAATCCAGCTCCAGGTGTTCTACATCACGGGGTTGAGTATGACCGGCGGATGACGGCTTATAAGCCAGAAATGGGTACCCCAGTCTCCCTTGTCTTTTTCAGAATTGTTATTCTACAAATACGTATATAAGTATAGTGCCCCCCAAACGGGCCACGTGGTAGATGCCCGGGACCAACACGGGGGCCATATCGGATTCTGTCAGGCGTTATCGGAATGCGCACATAATGGCCTCGGCCGTCCCCCTAGTTCTGTTGTTTTTGAAGATCCTAGTCAGGTGTTTGTTGTGGACCAGGAGGTGTTTTGGTGTACCTTAGTGTGCGTTTACGCCGTGCCAGCGACCTTCGCCTCCCCCCCCCCCGTCTCCGGCCTTCTTGACTCTGTCCTGAAACCGGTCGGGTAGGAGGAGGGAGTGCGGCAGATGCTGTACAAGCCTACTATCACTAAACTAATTCACGTGCAAGTCGCCGTGCTTGTTTTAGCTTGCCATGGAGCATACGGTCGAGCCGTCGTATGTAAGTATAAAAATTGAAACGCGGCCATCCCGCGAAGTGTAATTTAAAATAAGTGAGATTCTTTGGGAACAAACTAACCCTCATTGTTACAAATTCCTGGAAGCAATGCACTCAGATGAGGCATGCATCAATTGGCATACCAATCTGGGTGTCATGTATGAATTTCTCAAGGACAAACGGAAGCGAGCGCAATCAATGCTTAGGGGATGACAAAACACGATTGACGTGCATTGTAACAGGATCCTGAAGGTCATCGCCAGATGTTTGATTGTTTTTGAACATGACCCACAAGTTTGATGTCGGACAGGGGAACTAGTCTCGAAAATATATGCAATATGAGTTATTTTGTACCCGAAGTATTTCGAATACACATATATTATCTGAAGTTCATAGAGAACCATAAGAGGTCCACTGAGGAGCCGAACTCCTCGCAGCTGTATCATGCAGTGGTAGAATATCGGCGAAACACTTGTCTGGGCTCTTAACTAGTACCTATGTTGGGGGTGTGGTATAATACCTTTGCCATATATATATATATACGTGTGTAATGGTAGAGGGGCGCTAACCAATCGTTTTACGGAACTCAATCGTCCCGTTGTGCCTTACGGGCTTTCTCTCATGCCCAACCAGCAGCCTCACAGCGGTGCTTGATATAGGCAGCATGTTATTATCGACAAAAACAAAGGATACTGCAATGGCCATTTCTGGCTTGTTAGCTGTCGTCAGCCAGTCATACCCAACCCCGAAGTGTGGAACACCCGAGGCTCGAACTCGCGACCTGTTAGTTAGAAGTCCACGCCTCTAACCACTGCGCCACGAGCCCGTTGCCTTGTCGGTTTCGATCGGGAATAAACAATGGCAAAGGGCCGCTCATCGATCGTAAACATATTATCTTATAAAATCGGTGAGCGCCCCTACCATTATATATAATTATGCACATTATATATTTATATGAAAAAGACCACATAGAGAACGCTGGGGACCCATTGAGGAGAAGAAACCCTCGCAACTGTGTCACGCAGCGACAGAATATTCGCGAAACACGAGTCTGTGCTTTTAGCTAGTATCTTTGTCGGGAGTATGTCATAATATTTTCGTGTATATACATATACGTACACAGGGGCTATGCACTTATTCTTGAAGGGTTAGCGGACACACAAACCACTGACGATAAGATTCTGAAAAATTTCAACAGAACGTGAAGGCTAATGGTAGTAGACTGCGTAGCGATAAATATGCGAGCATTCTACTGCAGCCCTGTTTCCGGTTTCGCCATCATTCATCCCCTGCAGGTTTCGAGGGTGAGATAGAACTAAAAGGGGATTGAAACTCGAAACGTCGCCAAATAAGTTGACCCGCACCCTTACGACCCGTGTCGTACTAGACAAGTTTCTTGTACGACAATTCTCGCTAGTATGATCTCTGATTATTGAGGGCTGAGTGACCGGCACATGTGTGCGGTGTACAGAATAATGCTTTGCGCCACGACAGCTAATACGCTCATTTTCTCTCAGTTTGTCTTGCAGTTGGAGTAGGGTGGGTGTGGCCAGTGAAGGTGGAGTCGACGGCCATCAAGTGGCCCTCTCACTGCACACGCCCAAGTCAGCACTGCCTTGACGGTGTTCCTTGTGCAGGGCAGATAAATTATCGGCCGAACGTTGGCACGAACATGTGCACCAATCAGGCCAGGGTAGTGTGAGAACCGGAACTAATGACATCGGTGTGCATACTTGCCGAATTTCTGCCGTAGGATGCGCAAGAGGTGGTCTTATGAAGCACAGTCCGGAGCGCTTGGATGAGATTCCCACAAAAGCGTTTCAGCTGCGAGAACTGCCAACGTGTGCATGTACTTTAGCGTTGGCTTTTTAGAATTATTTTAATCATCGATTTAGACCGCCTTGTTAACGCATCTGCTACCTCGTATGGCCTCCCTCGTCTCCGGTCTTCTTGACTCTGTCTTGACACCGGGCCCAGGCGGGGGAGGAGGAGATAGTGTAGGTAGATGCAGCGCAAGTCTACCCGCACTATAAACCCCTGCGCAAGTCACCGTCCCCGCTCCCACCGCTGCCACAGTTGTGGGGCACACGGTGGACATCGTCGAAATCGACGGTCGAACTGTCTCTCCCTCGTATGATTATATCACTACAGTAGAATTTGTTGTAACGTTTCCCTACACACGATGGACCGAGTTCATTCGAACAAGTGTGGCTGCTTCTTTTCCTCCTCCTCATCCTCCTCCTCCTTCTCCTCCTCCTCCTCCTCCTCCTTCTCCTCCTCTATAATCGAGGTATACGTCTTTGATTGCAAATGTTTGGGAATCAGTGCGTAGTTCTCCCACATCTCCACAGCCTCTTCTCCTTGAGTACTTACAACGTAGCATTTGAACTCCCACTTACTCATCAGAATTGGGCCATTTCAAGTGTCTGGAAGGAACATGCAGCCTCTTTTCCTGCTTTAAGACCGAACTTCAACAACTTTTGCACTTCTTAAGGCCAATTTAGCACCAACTATTAGCCACAATCTTTGCGCACCTGCTCTAGGTCGACGTACTGCGACTGCATCACGTTCAATGAGGCGTTACTCTTCCTCTTACACCCAGCTCCCTAATCTCTGTATCTGGTTTTAAAAATTATAAAGTTAGTGGTTACTGCATTTAGAGTACATTAGAGGCATACTCGTGTTGCTATAGCAAACGACGCCTTTAAATTTTTCATCAGAGCATGCCGACTTCGTAGGTGTGACGCTGATTGGGATTCCGTTCCAGTTGGTCAAATACCAGCGCCGACGCATAATTACACGTACTTACTGCTGCTTTTTTATTGCTGATGATTGATACGAACAGGATCCTTCCGTCCGTGCTTTGAACTCGGTCGTCTCACATGGCATTGCGTTTCCTTCAGGAGCCGTCCAACCACCATGCCTTTTAGATTACCTAGATATTCTATGCAGTTCTATCTTAGAATGCTCCACTTCATACTTAATTTGTCGTTGTTCCGCCGTTTCCCCCCCCCCCACCGTCTTCCTCCCTGCCACATGCATATGAGCATGACTAAACAACCCAGCCAGGTTTGATTGCAAGCGACCAGTATGCGTCTCTGACGAGTTTGCCAGCTTGTAGCGGCGAAACCTCATGCGTGGTCACCATGCTAAACGTAGCCACGTAAACTAAGACTTTCACATCTTCTCGTGCTGGTGTGACGCTGCTCAACTGTCAATCTGAATTTGCCTGAACTCACAAAGGATTCATCTAAGTGTTCGTAAATCGGAACCTAAGTACAAGTCGGATGCCCCTCTGCTAGTTAACTGAAAATATCGTTCATGTAAAAAACGTCATACTGTCCATTTTGCAGCCTCAATAAAAGTATGGCTTCATCAGGCAAATAGGGGAAATTCTAAATGTTGACCGTCCAGAATAATTAATCCAAACAATGACTAAATTACGTATTGTTTTTCACAAAGAGAAGCAAAATGATGTGTAAAACTACATATATTTATTTGAACTATACATATATACCCGTCCGGGTATAAGGTTGCATTTGGAATATTAATAAAGATCTTTTGGCAAGATGGGTGCTGATGCTTCACGTATCACCGTAACTATGGAAGTGGGGTTGTCCAGTTCAGATTAGAAGATATTGCCAGATAGACGAGTAGTGTGGAAGACCTTCTCAATGGCACAGATGTACGCTGCCGTACGGAAGTCCAGACCAAGATTGTATCGGTCGGCAACCTCCATCATCGCCTGCAGAATAATCAAAATTTTAAATAATGACATGTGTCAAGGATAAGATACCTGAGGTTAAATTAAACATTCATCAGAATTACCTTTGCAGCCTTTTCCATGGTGAACTCCAAGCCAGAGTTGACGATATCGAGTTCGGATGCGTTCTAAATTTATCACAATGCATATTAAGGATGGATTTGACGACCGTTATGTAAGACAAATCGCAAACACCATGAAAGCGGATCGCAAATTTACCTCCATGAATTCACTGAATTTCTTTGAAGGCTCAACAGTAGTGCTCTTTCCAGAAGACTTCTCCAGAGTATGCTTGATGCTGTCTGTAATGGAAAAAATCCATTTAAGCGCACTTGAAATATAGTCAACATTATTCAAAGACATCCTCCGAATATACGATTGGTTTGCCTACCTAGCAAAAGCATATTCGACTCCTTTTCATACTTGAATGTCAATCGGCCATAGCTGATGTGATTAAGATTCTTGATCCATTCGAAATAGGAGACCGTCACACCACCGGCGTTCAAGAACAGATCAGGGATGACCATAACATGCCTCTTGAGCAGTTCCTTGTGCGCATATGGCGTGGTTGGGCCATTGGCACCCTCAGCAACGACCTTTGCTTTGATCTTATCAACATTCTTGGCCGTAATCACGCGTTGCATAGCAGCGACCAAGAGGATGTCACATTGCTCATACATCAGCTCAACGCGGTCAAAATCTTTAGCTCCGGGGAATCCCTTGAGAGTTCCATTTTTCTACAAAATGCAACAGAATTATAGCATAGTTTGATGTAGGAGTATTTCTCTCCTCAACTACTTCATTAGCCGTCAACGGGTAATCGTAAAATTAACCTACCTCTCGGAATTGGATGAGAGCAGGAATATCAATGCCATCCTTATTGTAAAGTCCGCAGTCGATTTCAATGATACCAATTATTTTGGCACCACCTTCGTGGAGGAAGAGTGAGGAGTACATGCCAACATTGCCAAAGCCCTGTACAATACACGTCTTTCCACGGATGCCAGTGGAGGAGAGGCCGCAAGCCCGGCAGTTCTTCTCGCTATCCACGAAGTTCTTGATGCCGAAGTAGACACCCTAAAAAAGCAAAAGTATATGAACCATGCAATTGGTTGCATTTTTCCAAGGGAGCAATGTGGCAATCTGCATAAATTAGAAACTGAATATGTGATCAGTAAATAATGTGTTAAGTTAGTACCTTGCCAGTAGCTGGGGTACGACCCTCAACGCCACCCTGTGCAATGGGCTTGCCAGTGACGCATCCAAGAGCATTCAGATCACCATAGCCTGCAATAAAATAATAAATTTATTTGATCTCCTGCAGTGGTTGCGATTAGTCAGCCATGAATTCGAATCAGAAACAATGGTATTAAGGACCCTTGTGTGGATATGGGATTAAATAAGATGATATTGGCTTACCCGTAGTATTGGCGTATGTATCAGCAATCCAGGCCATTTCGCGTTCGCCAGTACCGACATCGGGGGCAGGCACATCGATAGATGGGCCGATGAAATTTTTCTTGCACAGCTCGAGTGCAAATCGTCGGGTGATTCTCTCGAGTTCGCTAAGGGAGTAGTTGCGGGTGTTGATTTTCAAAGCGGCCTTGCCACCACCAAACGGAACATCGACAAGTGAGCATTTGACGGTCATTAAGCTTGCAAGAGCCATGACTTCACCTCGATCGACGTCGGGGGCAAAACGGATTCCACCTTTACATGGAGTGAGGTGGTGGGAGTGCTGAGCTCTCCAACCTTGGAATATTTCGTAGGTTCCGTTATCGAGTCTGATGGGGAAGGAGAATTCGTAGACGTTGTCACAGGCTTTGATGGTGCTCAGGATGCCCTTTACGTATGCGGTCTTTTCCTCAGCACTGCCTTTATATGGAAGCTGCTCAATAAGCTTCTTTTCGACGTGAGGAAGTGCTTCGTCGAAGAACATGCCCACCATCTCGAAGAATGGGGGTTCAACAATGTTAGTAGCAGGCATGGCTATCCGGATGAGTTATCGCTAGAGTCGAACTGTGCGCTTGATGGGTAACCTAATGTCACACTAGCGTCCTTTTATATTTTCGTCTAAACGAATAAACAAACTAATGATTCGACTGAAGATCCCCATATGGTTAATTCTTTTATATGAAGTCGTGTGTGAAAGAGGGGTATGAAATTTTATTTACGAATGCCTCCTCTAAGACTGGAAGTTGACAAAACGAAGGGCTGTACTTGGGCAAGGTATTGAGGTTGAGACCTTCTCTGCCTTCTCGAGTTTTTCGGTTTCTTTTATAACGTCAACCATCTGTTTGTCAAAAGATGGATAACTGTATAGTCAAATCCGTATGGTTAAAGCAGTCTTTGGATAATTCATTCGAAAGAGGCAGGCAGGAAGACTAATTTAGCAGGATAGTTGTAAAGTATTTAAGTTTGCATCAAACAACGTAGGCAGTGAGTAAACAGGTCTAGATGCCCGTGGGTTTAAACTGCCTTTGTCCAATTTGCTTTGTCCAAGCATCATAAATTATGACGATAAATACACTAAGAGCGACGGAGGACGTACGTGGCTTCAGAGAGTAGCACGAGTACCAATACCAAGGTGAAAGTGACAATTTCCTCTAGGCTGCCATCTCGTCTTATAATAATAATAATAATAATAATAATAATAATAACAATAATGATAATAATTGTTTTTGGTGCCAGTTTACAGGCATTGTCAGGAAAACGTTGAAATCAAATCCGGCCAGCAGTGAAAAAACTCCTGTCGAAAAGGAATAAAAATAAAGCTGGTGGTGGTTTTTTATAGTTTAGAGGGTTCAGTAGAAAAAAAACTGCTACCCATCAAATTCCAACAGTCTAGAAAGGGAGGGGTAGCACTGTATCGGGTATTACCAGTCGCCAATTCTTTTCATGAAGTTGGGACTGGTCCAAACAGAAGTGCCAAAGAACAGCTGTCGCTGTTGGCCAAAGAAATGGTTCTTGGTGCGACCGGCCATAGAGATCGGAGACTACGAACGCCATCACTAGGGTATAGTCGATCAGTGGATTCAGCACCCAAAATTCGTACGAGTTTTTCTGAATGCAAGACTCGAGTAATAGTTCTTTTAAACAGAATAATTTTGCAGACTTTTCACACTCCTGCGTAGTTTATTCCAAATAGTGAGTGGTTTAAAGGTACGATTACGTAAACGCTTAAATAGTAAAAATACTCTCTTTTCTTAATCTACGAAACCATAAAGGATCAAGGCCTGTAAGACGGTAACGTTCTTGGTAAGACAAATGTCGGTGTTCCGGGGTTAAAACTCTCTTGGTAAAAAAAGAGTTGAACGGATTCTATTTTCTTCCTCTCAGGAGCACGCATGAGTCTAAGTAAAAACAATCAGTATTCCAGGCCAGGTCTAACGTGCATGTTATATATGCGCATTCTTATGTCCCTAGCTTTAAAGTTTCGCAGGATAAACCCGGTCGCTCTACGTGCTTTGGAGACTATCAAGGCACAGTGCTCCAAAAGATTGAGACTGTTGGAGTATGATACACCCAGATCCTTAATAATCCCAGGCACATTTAAGGCGTGACCGTCAATACTGAGTTAGGGTTGGTGGTCGTCGTCAGCCACCATGACTGAGCATTTATGCCAAGAAAGAGAAAGGCGCCATGCGCGGCACCACTGGGCAAAGGCCTGCAGTTCGCTTTTTAGGAGCTCATGCACGATTTGATTTTATTTGATAATTTTATTTAATGCCAGTTTACAGGCATTGTCAAGGGAAGAGTTAAACACAAATCCGACCTGCCTGCTTATACCTGTATGCAACCTTCCGATCATCGGCATGCATCAAGGGCTTGCCATTCTGAAATAAATCTGGTACATCGTTACCAAAAAGGCAAAATAAAAGCGGGCCGAGTACACTACCCTGAATGACTCCACTCCTCACGCATGCGGGGTTGGGGATAGCATTGGAAATCTTAACTCGTTGTGTGCGAGCACCCAGGTAAGAGAATATCAAATTGATAAGTTTTCCACCTATTCCGAAAGAGGAAAGTTTCAAAAAATAAAAGAACATGGTTAGCACGATCAAAAGGCTCAGTGAAATCGAAATATACTGTGTTAAGTTCAAAACCATTGTCCCTAGATTGGAGAACATGGTCAAAGAAAGAGAGCTGACAGGTGTCACAAGACCGAGCTTTGAGGAATCCATGCTGTGCAGCGCTCAGTAGGTTATTCTCTGGTAGGGGGAGCTCACCGATCGTTCTTTCGGAATTCACTCATTCTGTTGTGACTTACGGGCTCTTTGTCAGTAATAACCTACAGATTATTCTCTGTTAAGTGACATATCATCTTATCTTTGGTCAATATATCTAAGATCTTCTTAACTGCCAGGAGGGTGGTTATTGGCCGAAAGTCATCAGATGACGTAGATTGGCCATGCTTGGGAATGGGCAAAATGTGTGTTTCCTTCCATAGAGTAGGATTGGTTTCACTTTCAAGAGCAAGATTAAATATCTTGCATAAGAGGGATGGGAAAATCGTATTTGCATCAGCTTTTAAAATGCTTACTGGGACACCATCAGGTCCAGCGTCATGAGATTGACGAAAACGCCGAATCGCAACAGTCGCATCCCATAGAGTGAACGTTATAGTTTCTAGAATTGTCCCGGCCAATGCCCGGATGGTCGGAAGCGGAGTGGTTGAGTTTTTAATGGACGTTCTGGATGGGAAAGCATTGAAACTATCAGCGGTTAATTGGGCATCAGCTATGGAAATAGTTTACGCCCACCACTGTTCTTCCCTGTAGTAAACCTTTTGCAGTTTTGTGGAATTGGCTACGATAAGGCCATGCGGCCATTACTCAGGATATCCTTTCTTGTGCAGCGCTGCGATATAATCACATGTGTGCATCGACTGGCTTCAAGCCCTCGCGAGGTTAGTGAAAAGTCTTGCTTTTTCCGGGCAGTGAACTGGCGAGGAGCGTAGTGTGGACAGAACGGCAGTAACACATCGCCAGCCAAGAGTGCGGACAGCCACATATTCACGTATGGCAAGCATGTGTGGACCGTTTAAATTTTATCCCACCTTTCTGTTACCAGATGACAACGGGTGTGGCAGGAGAGAATGAAGCAAATTCAACGTCAGTCCTCCGCAATACATTGAAGCTTCCTAGTCGGCCTTGAAGAGCAATAATACGTATTGTCGTTTGTTACGGTCATTTATAAAGCGTATATAGCTAAACGAGTACTCTCTGATCAATCGGAAACAGGCTCAAGCGCATCGGCCAAAACCCCGAATCCATAATACATAGCCTCCGTAATATTTACACAGAAAGGAAACATGTTTAACAATAGGTATTTGATTGAAAATATGAATTTTTATAAGCAAAGATTAAATGTCAAAATTATGGGAATTCGTGTCGAATGACCAAACTGGTTTTTGACGTACATATAAGCTTGTTTGCGAAAACAAAATGAAGGCGCGAAACCGCTTAAGAACAACAATACGCTAAATTGGTTTCATTAAGCATTTTGAACCAAAGTATCCTACAAGAATTGGAGTAATAATAAATGTAGCATTTAGGCAACAGCCTGTTGTTTGATTACAGGTTGCAAAACGGTTGAAACAAAACGGTTTTTGTATTTTTTCCTCTTTGCCCTGATCAAGGCGCACTTGACGACGGCAGAGAGGATTAAGCCTTATTTTGCAGATAAGGACGTCTCAGAAACAAACGATTTTTACAAAGAAACACTGTCTACAAAATCGTGAGTCACTAGCTGAAACCATAATTATATGAGTTGTTCCGTAGCGAGAAAGTTTCATGCATACGATAACTTACAGTGTTTACAATAAACGGGCAAACTGTTTATTTAACACCACAAGGGTACTTTCGTGGTAAGTGACAATTCATTCTCGGGTGAATTTAAGAAGAAGTAGGCAAAGACTCTATAGCGTTCAGTTTGTTCATAAAGTAGGCACTCTGATTTGAAAAGCGGCTGGCGAACAATGGAAAACATCTTCAGATTTTTTGAAAAAGGGAAAATAAACGGAATTTGACCAGCTTTTAAGGAGGAGAAATTTTTGCTCATGGGGAGGTAAGTGTGCGGGTGGGACATGTCCCCCCTGCAGGTGAGATTATATAAGGGTTCGGTACGTTCCTCGTGAAGGTAGAATTCCTGAACAGGATGAGGCCACTCGCTGCAGATGTGATAATAATATTCTTGGGAGGACAGCAGAATAAGCCGTCGAGGTGGCGAGACGGAAGGAGCCCAACACGATTGGTCACAATCCGCTTAGAGTCCGAGCGAGAAGGGACATCAATAGCTGGGAGGGTCATCAAGGCGCGGGAAGATGCAGTCATAGTACTTCTTTGCTGACCAACCAAACTACTAACAGGTAGCAAAACCAGAGGAATCCACCGGGATCGTCAACAGATTGCTTGGGATCCAAATGAGGAGATGACATTAAAATCCGTAAAAATCATCGCCGTAGGGGAGGAGTGATAGCAGTGGACTCAACAGCCAATCGAAAACAAGGGATTTTAAAAGATTTAAGTGGGTTCCTATTTAAATATGTAAAACATTATTGACATCGGAGTCTGCTGACTTTCAGGTTTCCTTGAAAGGCCTGTGAATACTTTACAGTCTTCAGTGTTCTCAGTCAAATGTGCAAAATATTAGTTGTGTTGATTATTCCTTTCAAAGCCTTTTAAATAAGACAACGACCATACTCCTTCTTATCAATTCTCTGCCAACAGCACCCCAGGAATCTCCTGATCCAAGAGCGGCTGAGTCGTTTGCTATTTGCTTCATATTGTTGGCTTGGTTAAAAAGCCTCTCATACACCTTTAAATACTTCGTGCCGTACTTAGAATACCTTGCATATCCTTCGAATTAATAATGGGAGTCGACAAAACACCATCAGGACAATGTGCAAAAAACTCGCCCCAAGTGGAATACGAACCCAGGTCCCGTCGTGGGGTGAGCAGCGTGATCGCCACTACACTAACGGCG